CTACATAATCACTCCAACGCCGCAGATGGCAGATATCTATGATCAAAAGGAAACGATCAAAGATATTCCTGAATCTCCGTGTCCTTCAGTCATATCATTGCAACCAGGTTTAGAAACTGCGTGAGTTACCATATTCGAGAGACCACGAACTTTGAGCTCAATTATCTCGGTTCCTATGAGAGATATCCAGAGTTTGTCAACTGATAAATCGTTTATCAAAATATCACAAACATTTTATCAGTTGACAGATTTTTGATATCTTCTTCAGAAATTGAGATAATTGGGCTCAAAGTGCAAGTACCGGAAACATAGACTGATCCCCCTAGTTGGCGTTGGGTGGCGTTCTATTAAAGACTACTTCTTGCCACAGTACATATCAATTCCGATCTACAGTATTCTCAGATTGAGAAAAACAAATTTTTCAGTGAAAAGGTTCCAGCTCCATGCCCGAAAGATTCCCAAAGTTTTCAATGGGGCGAATGCATTGGAGACGTTTGTTGCAGAGTTATGATGGAATGTAGCGGCCGTCTTCTCGTGTCAATTATATGTTGCGGTGCATAATGTATTTTGGAAGAATAGAATCTTTTGAAGAACTTTGTAATATTTAAATTATATAATTTTAACTATAATTTTTAATAATTTTCAATAACCATTTTAAATTATTTCATCCTTTTTTTCCAGTTTTTGTTATATGAAACTTTTTTTGTTCATATACATCTTAACTAACTGCACTCACAGTGAAAATTTTAATAGAATTCCTCCTACTTCTGTTCCGCTACTTTGAACTTTAAGTCAGGTTATCTCATTTTTCTGTGAAAGATACCAAAAAGTATTTAAAAAAAGAGATACCAAAAAGTATAAATAAAATATTGATGGTATTGTGGTAAATATTTCTCAGTTAGCAGTTTTTTGATAGCTTTTATAACAACCGAGATAATTAAGCTCAAAGTTGAATATTAGGGTGCAGCTCTATTAGAGATTTTACGGTGAGGTACATAAACCCGTCTTCAAGTTTTTTTTTCCAAAATCTGATACCCATTTTAACCAAGACCAGAGGCATATCTGAAACTGAAGAAGGTGTTATTTTCTGCTGCAAATGCTGTGTGGAGATTGGTTGTTGTAACTGCTTGTATCATAATTTATGTGTTTAGAGTCTTTTTCGTACTGTTCGATGTAATT